TTATAGTGATGCATGTCCATAAGTTGTAATACTAAAATATGATGTAATTTATAGGAATTTGGGCATGCTAATGCCAAATTGATTATATCTATTGTTTTCATCATTTCATGTCACAAAATTATGGTTGTATAATTAAAATGTTATATATATATATATATATATATATATATATATATATATATATATATATTAAAGTTTATCTATTTACATCTCCATCTCTTTATAATTATTTCCAACATTTATTTTTTTGAGGTATAAGTATCGATGTAAAAAAGATGGGAACAATTTCAAAGGTATATTTTTTTGATGAAACATTGAAAAATATATATGTTGTAAAAAATGATAACAAGCCAAAAATGTGATTTTCATGTGAAACGTGTGACCAAAAATCCGTTAATCTCAACCAATAATGAGTCAATTCGTTATAAATAAAAGAGAAAATTAAATATCCTCCTACTTTTTCTTCCTACAAATCTTCCTACCCAATTAAATGATGACATGTGTCACATTTGATGCTCATTTAATGACATTTTAATATACTAAAATGAAATATGTCATCATTTAATTGGGTATGATGATTTGTAGGAACAAAAGTAGGAGGATATTTAAAACTACTTTAAACTTCAATTTTAACAATCAAAACGATTGGACTAAACTATATATGAAGAGATACTCCAAGGACTAAATTCATAATTTACTCTATTTAAAAACAATATCATCTCTCAACTCTAAAACCCTCTTTGTGAAATCACATGTGCTCTTCACGTCTTCAACATATGCTCATTTTCAAGAAATTGCTACAATCATTTGAATTTAGGGTTGATGCCATTAAATGAAAATAGTACGTTTTTTTGGTCATTTATCTTTTAGTTGTGTACTCAATGAGTCAATGAAACCTTTTCTGGGTTATCATACACAACTAGAGTTGATTTCAACCAGCATACAAAAGACAAAATCTGTCATATTTCATGTCATGTAGTTTATCCGGTTGAAATTCAATACAATGAACCCAACAAATTGTTTATTAGTCAATTGAGTTCATTAAAAGATAGCACCTATAGATAAAATTGCTCGTCATTTTATGATATTAACCCTATATATAGTCATACAGATTTTTGGATACCCATTCATCAGAATCATGATTCACATTACAAAATTTGAAGAAAAATGACATGGAAATAGCTTAATAGACAACAAACAATAATCCAAAAAGAAGATATAAACCATCAAAGAAGCAAAGACACTAACTAACTCTTGGGAATATTCTTTCCAACAATCTTGGCTGGAGTTATTCTGATGAGGTTTCCAGGTTTACCAGGAACAGCCCCTTTGATCATGACAACTCTAAGCTCAGTATCAATCTTGACAACTTTGAGTTTTCTGATCTTTGTTTTTGTCCCTCCCATTCTTCCAGGCATCTTCTTCCCTGGATACACACGCCCTGGTGTTGTTCCTGCTCCTATTGATCCAAGAGCCCTATGACTCTTTGATCCATGAGACATTGGACCTCTTTTGAAGTTATACCTCTTGATACCACCTATTCACATCATAACATTCATAAGAACACCAACAACATGAAAGGAATTTAACTTTTCTCAACTAGAAGATGAAAATTCCCATTGTTTGATGAGTAATTGTATCATTTAAATCAAGAAAATTGGCCAATTTATTGTATCGAGATAATCTGACACCAAATTCTTGATTTTCACATGTTTTATGTTTCGTAAATGGTTGCAATTTTGAAGTGGTTAGATTTTAATGGTAAAGGAAGGGAGAGATGAGAGAGAGAACCTTGAAACCCTTTGCCAATGGTGGTGCCAGAAACATCAACCAAATCACCTTCTTTGAACAATTCTTCCAACACCAATTTCTGATTGGGCTCGAACCCTTCAACGGATTGTAACCTAAATTCTTGAAGATGCCTCAATGGAATTATCCCTGATTTTTCCAGATGACCCATTTCGGGTTTTGTGAGTTTCTTATCTCGGACCCTTCTGTACCCGACTTGAACCGCATTGTACCCATCTGTATCCTCGGTTTTCACCTGAGTCACAAGGTTCCCTTCTCTGAAACCTATTACGGTGACCGGAACCACCTTGCCGGTGGATTCGAAGTACGTCATCATGCCCAGTTTGGTACCCATTAACCCCACTCCGGCCTCCATGCTCATTTGGATGGAGGATGGCCTGCGGCTGAGGGATTTGGTGGTTATGATAGGGGTTATACGGATAGGGTTGAAGAAGGAGGAGTTGGAGCAGCGGAGAGAGGCATGGTTAGTTCGGGTTTTGTGAAGGCGGAGGGGGAGGATTGCGGCAGGAGAGCAAGAGGAGTGAGATTGAGGTGTGATGGTGGTCGCAATTGAAGAAATCCGACCGGCGACGGACATGGCTTACGGGTTTAGCTTCTTAAAGTGTGAGAAAGAAAGAGGGGTTTCAGATGGAGAAGATTTGAGCAGATAACATAGAAGAAGAGGGAAGAAGAAAGAGAGCCTTTCTTATCCACCTGTTATACAAAAAAAAAAAAAAAAAAAAAAAAAAAGACAAAATTGCAAAAATTGTCGCTCTGGTTGGCAAACTTATGTGTTTTTGGTCCAAAATGAAATGTTGGTGCACCACTGGTCCAAAATTGGATATCTTGTGTCGTTTTGGTCCTTATGGTTATATTTTTTGTGGTTTTGGTCCATACCCTACCTAAAATGACGATTATGCCCTTAACTGTTTCTTTTTTTAATTTTTTTTAATTGAGTTCCTATTATTTTAATTAAAAAAACCAAAAAACCCACCCCACCCCTCTTAAGTAACACCCTACCCCCCCCCCCTCTCTCTCTCTCTAACTCTAATGTTGTTAAAGACCCATCACCGACCTTCAACCCACTGCCTCCATCATCGTCGACCATTGCTACCTCAAAAACTTCAATCAACCATCGTCACCACATCTTCCTTCTTCAATAGATTCGCATCCATAAAAATCCATATAATATCAGGTGTTTGTGGTGGGACACGATTGGGGCACAACTGTCGCTCGACATCTAGTCTTTTCCGGCCAGATAGATTCAACGGAATCATTTCTCTCGGTATTCCATTGTTTTCTAGATCCCCAAACATGTAGAGTGTAGTTTGATTTTTTGTGCATCTTATTGGTTTCACAACATAAACAATGAAAGATCAAACTCATTTCGTAATCAACGATAAAGGGAGTGGCAGAACGCCACCCTTGTTTATCTATTCTAGCCACCATAATCAGTCTCCATCTCCATAACCATTATCATAACACCACCACCTGTTGGATCTGCATCACAAAAAAAATCCCACCTACCCCACCCTAATTGTCGGAGAAGACAACCAGTCAACCTCTTCTCCCCAAATCAAACTGAAATTCGACACTAGACCATACCACACCAAATCAAGAACAAACCTGGAACCTGCAACAAATATCAAAACCTGAGAATCTTTTCAAGTCAAAAACTTGGCCCCCTCTAGATCCAAAAATCAAAAATAATCAGCCCCCATCGAGAAGGCGTGACAAACGCAGGTGGTTGGGGGAGATTGTCGACGATGGTTTTCTAGTTCACTGGTGTTGACAAACGTTGGAGCTTCTAGAGCTCTTTCTCAGCCGGTGATAGGAGGGAAGAGAGATAGCTCCAACGAGATATGGGTTTCAGGTCTGAGAAAGAGAGGCGTCTGGTGGGGGATAACGGTGGAGAAGATGGAGATGGTTGGCGAAGAATGGTAGTGGGGGCGAACGTTGATGGCAGGAGGAAGTCAGGTGGATGTGTTCTTGATGGTATGTGTTTGTGTGTGTTTTAAAGAAGTAGCAGCAGACGAAGGGGGAGAGAGAGTGAGCGAGAGAGAGAGCCCTTCTTTTAGAGTAAATTATCTTTTTTTTAATATAATAAATAATAAATGAAATAAAAGAAAAGGAAAACGAAATTTAGGAGGGGTATAATAGGTTTTTTAGATGTAAAGGGACCAAAATCACTAAAAATATTCAATTTTGGACCAGTAGTGCACCAACATTTCATTTTGGACCAAAAACATATAAATTTGCCAACCACAATGACCATTTTTGCAATTTTGTCAAAAAAAAAGCTATATATGTATAGAACCTTTTTTATATGATTTTAAAATATTGAACCTGAGAGAAAATTTAAAAAAAATGCTTTCAAAGGGCAATATTTTTTTATGTTTATGTTATTTTAGGTTGAGCAAATTATTTATATATATATATTTTTTAAATTCAATAAGAAATGTTTCTTATAACAAATTATTATATTGTAAAGATATTAAGAAATTTTCATTTATAGATCAATACATATCGATTGAAGGCAAACGGGCAACAAGCTGCGCCACTAGCCCTTTCTGGATGGCAAAACCAAAAATTATATTTTGGCTTAGATTTCATTTTATATTTAAGTTTTTGGTTATTCTAAATTTTATTATATACTAGTTTATAATCCGTGGAAACCACGGTCGGTATATTAAAATTTTTTATATAGATATAAAAAATAATAAATGTAAAAAAAAACCAAGATATTGTCGATTGTAAGTAATTATGAATTACTTTGTTAAGCAAAATAAACATAATAGTTTTATTAGGATATGATTTTGTATTTTTAAAATTTGAATTGAATATTATTTGCTAAAAAAAAAGGAAATAATAAAAATCATAGAAAAATGTCACGTGTCAAAGAGATATTCTAAAAAACTGACACATGTCATTTTTAACTTTCATTTATTAGAAGAGGTAGATTTGATCTGAACATTAAATATATTCAAGAATTCATTCCAAATTTAGATTAACTTATAAATTTATGTTTTTATAAACTATTTTAGAATTTTTTATATATTGTTTAAAAAAATAAAAATAGTTTGTAAATGTTTAAAAAATTTACAACTTTTTATATGTTATAATAAGAAGTTTTTAAACTTTTATTATAATTTTAATACAATGTTGTAAACTTGTTTTATATTTTTTTAAAAATCTTTTTACACTTTCATACGATTTATCTTTAATAAAAGTATTTTTAAATGTTATAAAAAGTATAAAAAAAAGAGTTAACAAAAATCTATGAAATGTTTTAAAAATGCTATAAAAAAGTTAGAAAATTTGTATGAAAAAATAAAAATAAAAATTTACAAAATAATTGGTTTAAAAGCAGTTATGTAAAATTATATGAAAGTTTAAAAAAAATTAAAAAATTATAACTAGGTTTAAAATCTTTTATATAT